TGTTGTACATAGGGTCGCTATGAGTCGCAAGCAACTCGACGGCCCATAACAACAACAACAATACTTTATATATTATTTTGGGGGAAAATCTGTTTTGTACACAATGGCTTCCTCTAATTGACTGTGGATGAATCCTATTCTCTATCAGCTGTTGTTGCAAAGTGCCCTCAAGCCACTTCTTCCTCATAGTGACTCTATGTATAATAGAATTAAACTCTTCCCAGTACTGCACCATCCATATAAATGCTGCAGTGCTTGAGCTCATCATTGTTATCACTTCTCTTTTGTTGACCCTCTACTTTGTCAAACATGATGTCCTCCTGAGGACATGTCCTTTGTTATTCTTAAGGTTTTCAAAGACCTGTTATTTCAGAAGTAGATGACCATTCCTGCTTCTTAATCTGTCACCATCTACAAGTGCCACTGATGCATGTCCACTGTGAGTGACCTTTCTGGTGTCTCAAATACAAGTGGTTTAGCTTCCAGCATCACAGAACAACTTCTAGTCACTCCAGCACATTAAAAATTATCAGAGAAATGCTATACTCAGAAGAGTAAACCATAGAAAAACAAGCACATAAATATCATGAAACAAATATGCATGCCTTCAGAAAGATATGTTGAGGGTGTGTCAAGAGGTGGGAAGTGCAGTCTTAGGCAGAATTTCTACTAGGTTTAAAGGAACCTAGACTACTTTGTCTGGTATCTTTGTCAGGTCAGGGTCTAGGTTACTCCCAGTCAAAGACGATGCCCCTCTAACCTGGGAGACTGATTGCAGAGCAGGAGTGCATCATTTGGGAGACCCTGAGAGTTTCTGGTTCTAGAAACAGAATGTCATAGACATGGCCTGAGGTAGATCTGGGACTTGGTGATATGGAGAAGATAAGAGGGAGAGTAATATGGTAGAGGGTAGAAGGATGGGGAGAATTTGATGAGTGGTGACGGTGGGGTGGGGTGGGGTGAGAGGTGGTCACAGGGCACAAGGGGAAGATTTGACATTTTCAGATGTGTGGATACCACTACTGCTGCAACTGTGTTCCTGTTTGTTTCATAAACATAAATAGCAGCAGATACTCATTAATAATTGGAATATGGCATATACAAATAAAAAAACATAAGAAAATTAGAAGTTTTAATAAATGAAATGAAGCACACAAAAACTAACAGCCTGGTGAGCTGAGGTGGACTAGTATTGGCCACTCTGAGTCAGACAATCCTATGATTTCAGAAAATGAAAAATTAAAGAATAATAGGGTTACATTCATACTACGAAACAACATGATAAGATCTATCCTACAGTACAGTGATGTGAATGATAGGATAGTATCAATATGCATACAGAGAAGACCTGTTATTAGAACTATAATTCATTAAAGTTGTATGTGATTAATTTGAGGATAGGACATCTCCTCCCATGTGATTTACTTCCCTCCACAAATCTGCTGGGGGGTCAGCTATATGTTGATTCTGACTCCATGGCACACAACTACATGAAGCACCTTTTTTTAAACAACCAACGTTTGCCAACATGCAATCAAGAAGTATTAATAAAAATTGCTGACTGGGGGTTTGCGGGGGGGATTGTGTACCAATGAAGGAGTTTTTCTTTTGCTTTTCAAGGAGAGAAGTGAACGGGGGGGGGGGGGAGAAACATGCAACAATGAAGGAATGAAATTCCAAAATTTAAAAATTTCAAAAAAAAGTTTTTACAGGAAAAAAAATTGGTGACTGGAATGCAAAAGTTGGAAGCAAAGAAAAAGGACTAGTACCTGGAAAATATAGACTGAGTGACAGAAATTAGCCTGAAGATTGCATGATAGATTTTGTATAAGAAAAGATTTATACTTTTCAAATGCTTTTTAAAAAAAATTTAAATTGTGACTATACACATAGACATCACTTGATAGTCTACACAGAAATCAGATTGACTACATCTGTGAGAAAAGCTAATGAAGAAATAAAAAATCAGCAGTTAAAATAAGTCCAAGAACAGACTGTGGAATGGATCAGTTACTTATGTGAAAGTTCAAACTGAAGAAAATTAAAACAGACCCATAAGAACCAAAATATGACTATAAATCTATCTCATCTGTATTTCAAAACTATCTCAAGAATAGGTTAAGCTATTGGACATTAATGAGTTGTGGATCTGATTAATGAAGAAAGTAAATGGTCACCCAACAATAAGGGAGAAAAACAAGACGAAAATGGCTGGAAGAAGAAGAAGCTCAAAACATTGCTCTATAATACAGAGAGACCAACACAAAGGGAAGATATGCTGAAATAAAACGGATGGACAAAAGTTTTCAAAGGGAAGTTCAAGAAAACAAAGTGAAAAATTATAGAGACGGCAGAGAGTGACACAGCACTGTTGGGTGCAACAGGCTTCCTCCTTGGTCATTCAGGCACTTTGGGGGGAAAAAACTGCTGTCCGGCGTGACTGTGTGGGACCCCTTAACTCAAGCAACAGGGAGGTCCTGGGTACCGTGATGAACTTGAGAAGCCACTTCCAGAAGGAATCAACAGGCTTCCTCCTTGATCATTCAGATACTTTGAGCAGAAAACTGCTGTCAGGCCATCGGCCTTGCAGACCTCAGGCCAAAAAGGGAGCACAAATATATACGTGCTTCTCAAAATATTGTTGTGGACTAAAGCGAACATTTTAGAGCCGTGGAAGGAGCAAACATCAGCAGGACCCACCAGCCAGGAGCAACCAGGACAGCAAGTATTTGAGGGAAGTATTTAGGGGGGAATCACAGCCGCACCAATTGTGGGACCCCATCACTTTAGCAGGAGTGACTGAGACAGCTGGAGCTCAACTGGTGTGGCAGACCCAGTTCTTGAGGAGAAAACCAAGGCTTCCTGGTTTTCCATTTAGGTCTCCACCATACCCCTCCCTGTGTGCATCTGTGTGCACGTCTCTTCCCTACCCCCCACAGCCACCCATGTATGCATCTGTGCATTCACCCACCCTAAGTGCATCACTCGAGTACCTGCTCAACATTTTGGAGATCAAGAACTGGATATCACCTCAAGCACGAAAAACTCTACCACACCAATGTTCCAGAAAAAGCAGGCTACCTCACTCCTCACAGAAGCCAAAAACAAGGTATCACCCCCAAAATGTGATACAGAAGCAATAGATTCCAAAGCAAAATATCACCCCCAAAATGTGACATAGTAGCAATGGATTTCCTGAAGCCAGAAAATCTGAAGGAACTTCCTGACATAGAATTTAAAAGAACAATGATTGAATATTTTCAATGGTTGAAAAACAAATTTGAAGAATTATAGGACAGTGAAGGAAAAATCAGGAGGAGCTTGAAAAAAAGAATCCAAAACAGTGCAGATAAAACAAATGAGGCATTAGAGGCACTGAAAAAAAAAAAACAGAAACCACAATCCAAAATATAAGGTCCAAGTTTTTAGATGCTGTGAACATGATGGAGGGACACATGGAGAGAGATGAAGAGATGGAACAAAGAACCAGTGAAATAGAAGATAGAATTGTCACCACTGATCTGCTAGAGCAAAAAGCAAAATTATAAAAGAAGGAAACAGAAGAAAACCTAAGCATATGTGTGACACCATCAAAAGAAAAAGCATGTACATAATCAGAATCATGTGAGCAAGAAGACAGTGGAAGGACATATATCAAACACTCAAACAACACAACTCTCAACCAAGAATACTGTACCCAGCAAAACTGTCCATCAAATATAAAGGAGAGACCAAGATATTCCAGAAAAAACAGAACCTAAGGGAGTTTGTAAAACAAGACCAGGATTGAAGGAAACACTGAGAGAAATCCTTTTTACAGAGGTGTCATAGAAAGAAGCATGGACAAAAGTGACTAGCAACAATGCCAGAAAAGAACTCAACAAAATGATACCAATAAAACCTTTCCTCTCAATAATCACACGAATGTGAATAGTTTAAATGCACCACTGAAGAGAAAATGAGTAGCAGATTAGATTAAAAAACAATCCATCAATATGTTGCCTACAAGAGACATATCTGAAAAATGAACATAAAGAAAGACTAAAAATAAAAGGATGGGAAAAAATATATCAAGCAAATGGTAACCAGAAAAAAGCAGGAGTAGCGATATTAATCTCTGATAAAATAAATTTCAGTGCAAAAACCATCACAAAGGACAAGGAAGGTCACTACATAATGCTTAAAGGGTCATTAGAACAAGAGGACATAATAATAATTATCTATGCACCAAATGAAAGACCTGCAAAATATAAAAAAAAACAAATATTACAAAACTGAAAAAGGAAATAGACAACACTACTATAGTACTTGGAGACTTCAATACACTACTCTCAAAAAGATAGAACTACTAGAAAGAAACTCAGTAAAGATACTGAAGAATTAAACCACACAATAAACCAACTCATTCTCATAGATATTTATAGGCTAATGCAAAAAAAAAAAAGAAAGAAAGAAAAAGGGCACTGTTTACCTTCTTCTCCAACGTGCATGGAACGTTCTCCAAAATAGATCACAAGGCAAGCATGAATAAATTAAAAAACACAGGAATAATACAAAGCATCTTCTCAGATCACAATGCTACAAAATTAGCAATTAAAAACAAAAGGATAAAGGAGAAAAAACATCATACATTTGGAAGCTGAACAACACCTTGCTTGAACATGACTGGGTACTAGAAGAACTAAAAAATGAAATTAAAAAGTTTCTTGAAACAAATGACAATATAACTACCACTTACCAAAAATCTCTGGGGAACAGCCAAAGCAATAATCAGAGTAATCAATTTATCAGCAGTAATCTATAATTTATAGCACTAAACAAACATATCAAAAGGCAGGAAAAAAATGACCACTGACTTTTTTTTTTCCAAAGAAGAATATCATTTAATTGTTAACAAAACTTTTTGGGAAAGGAATTTTTTTTTAATTAGAGAAGATTAAAAAGCTGTTTGAATGTGATAGGCTTGCTCAGTAAAGTACTAGTGGCTGCGAGGCACTTGATTACAGCATTGGTTTCGTGTCATCTGTGACCTTGAATGTTTCATCTTCAGGCATATTTGGCTCTTCTTTTTCGTCTACTTTGTGTTTCTGTCCCACTAAAAATACAGCAAACACTGAGATGAATAAGAAAATAAGACGCAATAACATAAGTGATACAACCTGAACTGTTGCAGGCACCTCTTCAACTAGGGGTCCTGGAGGTCCACTATTAATGCTTCCTCCATACCCTTCCTCCTCACAGAATGGAGGGGCCCAGCCATACATACAATGGCAGTTCTTTTTGTTGTTGCAAATGCCTCGATTGTTGCACTTCTCAGGCAAACAATCATACTGCAAAATTGAGACATCAACACAGCTTTTGTTGAAACATATCTGGTTCTTCCCACAGAAGGTACCATAATTTATTGTACCTAGATCAGGTATTCCCAGAGCTCTCATGCCAAGATGGTAGCCTGCAACAGTTCAGGTTGTATCACTTATGTGTCTTCCACAATGCCATTCCCACAAGTCTCCACGCTATAACTTGTTTCTGGGATATTATTTAGGCAAGTTAACCCTTCATTTATGGCTCAGAAATAATGGACAAAACTACAATTGCTCCATCCAGTACGTCCAGTGCCCATTATGCAACTGGTTTTACCCTTACAGTAGCAGTAGTCTTCATCATGGTGAATGATAATACTATGGCCTATTTCATGAGTAGTCCAAGTTCCAGGTTCAATGATATTCATGCTTGGAAATGAACTTATTGATGCAGAATGAGTTCGCATACAAAATCCTCCCCATGATCCCCCATAAGCATCCTCATATGTCCTTAGCAAATACAAATGTGCCCAATCAGCGTTATTACGTTTATTTATGACCTCTACTCTGTATATTATAAGATCAACCAGAACTGCAGATATATATTTTAGATAGGATCTAACTTTCAGCTTGTCAGTCCATATTTCAAGGGCTTGTAAATTTACCCTCAAATCAAGGTCTTGATAATAGGTGTCTATAATTGAAGTCACAATAATGGCATCACTTATGACTTGAGTTACATTACTTTTTACAAACACGTATCTCTCATGACAAAATAAAAGATACAATTCCAAATACTTGGGGTGCATGGACGTGTCATAAACTTCCCTCAGCCTTGTGATTTCCTCATTCTGGGTCATTTGCACTGCTTTTTCAGTATTAGTGAAGGCACAAGACCAGTTGTTCAAATGTTCTTTATTCAGGACATACACAGCATGCTCAAACCTGGGAGAGTCCTTGAAGGGCTCGATTTGGTAGAGTTCCTCATCAATTTTCAGGATGCCTCGCAGACCCCCCATGCACGTACTCACAGTGGCTTCAGATTCCCGAGACTCTTGCACGGAACCCATATAGTTGCAGACGTTGGGTATATAAGGGTGATCCTCTAGAAGCTCCCCCTGTTCTGTGAAGGAGAAAACCTGCAGATGTCGGGGCAACAAAAACCTTTTGGGCCGCAAGTGGAGGACGTGATTCTTGCCTTTTAACTTCAGGAGGTAGGACTCATGCCCGGTCACACTCTTCTGTTGTGCCCTGAAACTCAGTTTCTTGGGGATAGTTATTTCGAATGACTCAAAACCCCACTCTGGGTGAAAAATTAAGTCCTCAGGGAGAGAGCTTTCAACAACGAGCACAGCCAGGACTAGCATGGGCAGCCAGAGAGCTTTGGAGAGTGTGATCCTCCCTGACTTCATAGTACAGCTAAGCGACTTCTCAGTGTCCCAGCTTCTGGCCTCTTCGAGTTAGACTTCCAGAGACCGCTGCTAGGAACGCTTGAGCACAGCGTGCCTTGTTCCTGGGCGGGATTAGCGGACCAAGTCTCCTGGATGTGGGTCTAACTGAAACCCTCAGCACCAGGCAACGCAGGGTGTTCCGTTGTCTGGATGGTTCCGTTGGGGGTGTTCCGTTGTCTGGATGGTTCTGTTGGGGGCACGACCATTGACTTTTTTTTTTTTTTTTTGCAGCATGTATAAACACATACTTTATTACAAGTTAGGTAGAGCTTTATTCCAAATTCCTGACAAATAGTTGATCTTGATGAACTAGGTGAGGACCATTGACTTTTTAACATAACATCTTCAACAAATTGAAACAGAACGGCGTGAAAACTCGACACCCTCTAAAAAACTGAAATTATAAAAATCAGAGCAGAAATAAAGGAAATAGAAAACACAAAAGCAATTTAAACCATCAACAAAACTAGAAGCTGGTTCTTCAAAAAGGTCAATAAAATTGACAAACACTAGCAAAACTAACAAAGGAAAAGATACAGATAATCTGAATAAAAGATGAAACGGGCAATGTCACAACAGAACCAACTAAAATAAAAAGCATAACATTGGAGTATTATGAAAAACTATACTCAAGCAAATATTAAAACCTAGAGGAAATGGACAAATACTTAGAAATTCACAACCAACCTAAACTGACACAAACCAAAATTGAACACCTGAACAAACTTATTCCAAAAGAAGAAATTGAAAATTTAATAAAAACAACTTCCAGCCAAAAAAAAGAAGAAAAAAAAGCCCTAGACCAGACAGTTTTACAAGCGAATTTTATCAAACATTCAAATAAGAAGTGTCACCAATTTTACATAAACTATTTCATAAAATAGGGGAAGATGGAATTCTCCCAGACTCATTCTAGGAAGCAAACATTTCCTTGATAACAAATCCAGGTAAAACACCACCTAAATAGAAACTATAGGCTAATATCTCTCATGAATATAGATGCAAAAAACCCTGAATAAGAGCCTGGCCAATAGAATCCAATGATACATTTTTTTAAAAAATTTAAAAAAATAATTCACCATGACCAATGGGATTCACCATGGGATTCATAACAGATATGCAAGAATGGTTCAACATAAGAAAAACAGTGTAATTCATCACATTAACAAAACAAAGAACAAGAACTACAAGATCCTATCAATTAAGGCAGAAAAGACCTTTGAAAAAATCCAACACCCTTTCCTGATTAAAATATTCAGAAGAAAAGGTTTTGAGGGGAACTTCCTCAACATTGTAAAAAGTATATATGTAAACCCTACAGCCAACATTGTTCTGCATGGAAAGCGATTAAAGGTATTCCCTTTGAGAACAGGAACTAGACAAGGGTGACCACTATAACCTCTTCTATTTATTTTGTATTGGATGTTTTAGTGATAACAATAAGACAAGAGAAGGGGGAAAAGAGGTATCCAAATTGGCAAAGAAGAGGTAAAATGATCTCTATAAGCAAATGATATGACAGTATGCTTAGAAAACCCTAAAGACTCAGCAAGAAAACTACTGGACATAGTTGACCAATTCAGCAAAATGGCAATATACAAGATCAACATACAAAAATCAATTGGATTTTGCTACAATGACAAAGAGAATACAGAACTGGAGCTAAGAAAAACAATACTCTTCACAATGGCCAATCACAAGATTAAATATCTGGGAGTAAGTCTAACTAGAAAAACAAAGGATCTATTTAAAGAAAATTACAAAACATCACTACAAGAAACAAAAAGAGACCTGGAGAAATGGAAGAATATACCTTGCTCATATATAGGAAGACTCAATATTGTGAAAATGACAATACTACCAAAGGCAATTTACACACTTAATGCAATCCCAATACAAACATCAATTCCATTCTTTAATGAGATAAAAATGGCAGTCTCCAATTTAAATAACGAGGCCCCAAATAAGCAAAGCACTTCTTAAAGAGAGAAACAAGGTAGGAGGCAACTCACTCCCCTATTTCAAATCCAACTACACTGTTGTGGTGAAGATAGCATGGTACTGGTACAATGACAGACACATAGATCAGTGGAATAGAATTGAGAATTCAGAAAACAGCCCATCTACCTATGTTCAATTGATTTTTGACAAGGAGATGAATTAAATTAAGTGGGGAAATGACTGCCTTTTTAAAAAATGGTGTTGGCAAAATTAGAAAACTATCTGCAGAAAACTCAAGCAAGATCCACACTTCACCTCATACACAAAAACCAACTCAGCGTGGATCTGGGACCTTGGACCAAAACCAAGGATTATATACTTCATTAGAGAAAAGCTTGGAAAAACTCTAAGTCCTAATCCACAACATAAACAGTCTTCCAAGGATCCTGGAAAACCTACAACCAGGATAGGATAAAATAGATGAATGGGATTTTCCAAGAATCAAATCCCTATGCACATCCAAAAACTTCAACAGGGTAAAAAAGGGAAGCCACAGACTGAGAAGGAATATTTGGTAATGACATGTCTGTTAAGGGACTTATATCTAGAATTTAGAAAATACTCACGCACCACAAGAAGATAAAAGTAAACAACCTGGTTACAAAATGGGCACAGGATATGAACAGATACTTCACCAAAGAAGACATTTAAATGGCAAATAAACAGATGAAGAAATGTTCAAAATCCTTAGCTCTAAGAGAGATGCAAATCAAAACAACTATGAGATATCATCTCACTGCAGTAAGAATAGCAAAATTTAACAGAATAGCAAACAAAAAAAATGCTTGTGAGGTTGTGGAGAAACGGGAATGCTTATTCACTGTTGGTGAGAGTGTAAAATGGTGCAACCACTATGGAAGACAATATGATGCTTTCTCAAAAAAGTTAACAATAGATAGACCATTTGACCCAGCAATTCCACTACTGGGAATATACCCTAACCATAACCACCACCCAAGAAGATATATACACACTCAGGTTTATCACAGCTTTATTCACAACAGCAAAGAGTTGGAAACAACCTAAGTGCCATCAATAAATGAATCGATAGAGAAGCTATGGTATATTCACACAATTAAATACTAGGCTGCATTGAAAAACAAGGAACACATGAAATATTATACAAAATGAGTGACCCTGGAGGACATTATGCTGAGTGAAATATCTCAGCAGCAAAAGGATAAATACTGCATATTGCCATTGTTGTAAAGCAGGACTGACATCATGGTGGGGGGAACACTAAGAAAAGAGGAGTTAAATAATGTATACTGCATTGAAACAGATGAGGGAGAGAACTGTTTAAAAGGGATATATGATTAGGTATTATTGTCATGACAAGAGCCCAGAATGAAAGCTGCATAAGTGGAATGAAAGAAGTTTTGGGTTTTTTTTTTTGTTGTTGTTGTTGTTGTTTTTTATTTTTCAAAGAGTAAAGCAAACCGGGGTGTGGGGGGGGGGAAGTGTGAAACAATAAGTGAATGGAAATCCAAAGTCTCTATAGACTTTCATTATAATTAATTTTTTTAAAAGTGACATTATATCCTAAAAGTAGGTATCTTACTAAGCAGTTTTGTTTTCTGTCATTCTTTTTTTCATCATAACACAGTGTGTGTACAGATCAAGACATAAAGACAGACAGGATGAAAACATCCATCAAAATATTAACAGTGATTACATTTGGGTACACTAACAGTGGTAATGATGGTTTTTATTTTCTTCTTTAATTTCTCTGCATTTTCCAATCCTAATAAATAGGGACAAAGTAAAAGATAGTTTTGAATTATTTTCATTACCTTTGTTATTTTTAGCCCCACTACTAACAGTATGATATGAGAGAGGGTAGTCTCAGAATCCTTACAAAATCTCTTTAATTTTTCCTGAGTTCTGCACATCATTGTTGCTATTGTTGTTATTAGGAATCATCATGTCTAATCGTAAAGTGTTTGACCTTAAAAAACACCTAAGCCTAGCCAGATATCAATATACAAGTTGATATTGACCTACTTGCACTTACCCAGAAAGTTCAATACATTTGATTCTGATTTCTGCCTAGATCTGGGATATTTTGTTTCCTGGATTTCAATATGAATAGCTATTGATTTCTAAGGTTATGAAATACTGAATAATATTTGGCAATATTTAGTGGAACTTTGTCATTTTCATAGTTGAATGCAGCTAGACAAATTTTAAAGCTTAATAGGCAGATATTGAACTGACTGGAAGCCCAAGAAATTCTGGTACCATTTCCATTCAGGTACCAGTGAAAAAAATAAAGAATTATTTCTGTAGCTTTCTAAAAACTCTTCCTTTTCCAGAGGAATAATCAACTTTCTAAATATTTTAGTAAGTTGTATTTTACTTAGTAAGTTTATATCTTACTAAAATATAAAATATAATTATGTAAAGGCATTTGACTACGTGAATCATAACAAACTGTGACTGACTCTGAGAAAAATGGGAATCCCAGAACATTTAATCGTGCTAAGGCAAAACCAGAACAGATTATCCGGGAGGCTGGGCTCTATGAGGAGAAATGGGGGGTCAAGATTGGTGGACGATTTATCAACAACCTGGGTTATGTGGATGACACAACCCTGCTTGCTGAAACTGAAGAGGACCTGAAGCGCTTGCTGCAGAGTGTCAAGGACTGCAGCCTCCAATATGGATTGAGGCTCAATGTCAAGAAGACAAAGATTCTCACCACTGGGCCAATTGGCAGAATCAGGATGGATGGTGAAG